GTCAGTCCCTTATCAAGCTCCAAGAAATCCGAAAAAGATTATTTGTTTCAATTGTAATAGACCAGGTCATATTTCCCGTGACTGTAGAAGTAAGTCAGTATCTTGTTGGCGTTGTGGTCATAAAGGTGTGATCATATCTTCCTGTCCTAAGTGTAGTATTTCGAATAGGTCTAAAACTGACAGACCTCATAAGTCATCGTTGAACCCAATTTTTGAAAAGAAAGATTTTGATAGTCGTCCCCATGTTAATTGTTTAGAAGTTAATGTAGATAGAATAGACCCTTGGTTCGATAATTTGAGATCGAAGATAATCCGATCCCCCACTGGATTATCCACAGTGGAAGGTGGAGAATGATTTTGTTTATAAGTTTGCCCCTACCAAAAATTCTTTTAAGACTAATGATGTAGAGTGGAAAATTCTTGTGCCCAAACCACAAAGGTTTGAAGTTATGAAGTCTTGTCATGAGCCACCTACGTGTGCTCACTTTGGATTTTCCAAAACCTTGTCCCGTATTCAGGAAAGATATTATTGGCCCCAGATGCGTGTTGATGTGCTTAAGTTTGTCAGGTCATGTAAAGTTTGTGGTGCTCAGAAGACACCAAATTATGCTCCATTGGGTAAAATGGGTAAGCAGAGAGAGGCCAAGTTTCCTTGGCAAATAGTTGCAATAGATCTGATAGGTCCCTTTGTTCGTTCAAAGAAAGGTTATACGTGGTTATTAGTAGTTGCTGATTGCTTTAGTAAATATACTTTAGTCCAACCTTTGAGAAAGGCCACGGCTAAGAATATTGTTGAGTTTTTGGAAAATGATGTTTTCCTAATGTTTGGTGTTCCTCAATATGTGATTTGTGATAATGCCTCAAATCTGAAAAATCCTCTCTTAATTGAGCTCTGTAATAGGTATAACGTTCAGGAAGTATGGTTTAGCCCAGTATATGCACCTCAGTGTAATTTTGTGGAGAGGAACAATAGAACCATTGGTACAGCAATACATACGTATGTTAAAGACCACGTAGATTGGGACAAGAATTTAGCAAAGATCAGACAAGCTATTAACACTGCAAAGCATGAAGTGACTGGATATACTCCAGCTTTCCTGAATTATGGCCGTCATGTTCCTTTAAGTGGAAACTATTATGGTGTTGATCATAAGGATCAACAGAATCAAGATATCGAGATAATTCCAGGTGACCATAACATGTATGCTTCAGAAGTCAAAGGTTTAGATAAAGTTTTTGAAAATGTTAAGGCTAATCTTCGAAAAGGATATAAACGTAACGCTAGGAGTTACAACTTACGTAGAAGAGAAGTCCAATTTCAAGTGGGTGATAAAGTTTGGAAAAGAAATAAGGTTTTGTCTTGTGCTGTCAACAAGTTTATGTCCAAACTAGCACCAAAGTATATTGAAGCAACTATCAAGGAAAAATTGTCACCACTGGTTTATCGTTTGTCAGATTTAAATGGTTCAGATCTTGATAAGTGGCACATTAAGGATTTAAAGCCTTTTGTGTCAGATGAGGACAATATGTCATCTTTAAGTAATTAGTTCATCCTATCCCATGTCTGTATATTTGAGTTTGTATGTTGATTTGATTTCATCCCTTTGGAATGTTATTTCACTTTTGATAATTTTAGTTCAGGTAACCTATTTTATTTAGGAGACACATGTGAGAATCACATTTTGTCATATGTAGGTATATAGATTTAGGGTCTATATCCTAATTATTTTTTTGTAGAACCGTTGCCGAATTCCCTGTCTCGCTAGGCGTATAGTGGAGATAGTAGACACCTACCCGTTAAGTGTAGAGCAATTTATTTTGGATTTGTGCATAGTACTTGATTTAGGTAACGAGGTGTCATGGCTATGCCTGCCCGACAAATCACTTGTGTTACTGCTGTGAATGTCAGCGAGGTTCACTGCAGGGCATAAGGTTAGCTTCCCCCAAGGCATAGAAACTCATGTCACCTACAGTTCATTTTAGAGTCACAAATTTCAGTCTACTCGACTTTAAAGAGTCTGGCGATCGATGGCACGCTAGTCCATTCTTTGTAACTAACTTTGTTTTTGTTGTTTAACCCCATGCTAGTCATCATCTAAAAGATATTATTAAGAAGTTTCGACTCAGTTAAGAGGTCATCTTCTGATTTGGTTTTTGTTGTTTTGCCTTTATCAAAAACCGGATAAGAATTATCCGAGTTTTTTCTTTTAAGAAGGGGCATTGTAGCGTTTTTTTATTTAAAGTGTATAAAAAAGATTTCTGTGTTACGCTCCTGTTGTTTTTACCAAAGAAAACAATCGAAATAATATTTCAAGTTTTTTTTGACGAGATTTTTAAATGCGTATATTTCTACCGATTCAAAAGTAAATATAGATGTTTTTTTGTCTGTGTTTAGATTCAAATGTCGAACCTTTTATTACAAGTCAGGTAAAACTCAAGTTTAAAATACGCACGTATTTTGTTAATTTGTATTATGTAAATTTATGATGCCCCCTGATAAAAAAAAAGGTCTTATTTGTTTTATTTGTTTAAAAGTTGTTTTTTTGTCCATAAGAGGAGGGAATATTTGTTTTGGTTTTAAGTGGGTCGGCGACAGGCTGCAAGACGGAAGGGAAATTTTTGGCTAGATTCTTGTAAAATGTAACGAAGCAAAGAGAAGTCGACTAGGAGATTTCAAATAGGGCAGACATGTGACAATAGAGTGGACTGAGAGATTTCAAACAGGGCAGACATGTGACAATAGAGTCGACGATTAGATTTGAAACAGAGCAGACGTGCTACAATGTGAGTCCAAGAACCTATTTGAAATGGTGGTAGACGCTTTTTGCGGATGTGAAATGTTGGGCCATTTTTGAATCAAAGAGGATTCAATTTCTTTTGAAATGTCTTAGGACCGGTCAATGATAATACTATCAGATTTGAATAAATACTGGAAGCTTCTAAGAAGTATGATATAGGATGTCCCCGTAGTCGGCTTGATTCTTCCACCAAGTTCCTGTTCTAATCGTTTTGCCCTGGAGTGTAGAACTAGTTCCTGATGGTTGCTGCCTTCCAGTTTTGAAAGTTTTGTCCGAGTAGCTTCCCCAGAGATGTAAAGTTTCAAAGTGTTTGTATAAAAAAAAAACATTAAGGTAACAATTCAATATATTAATTTTTCAAAGTAAAGACAGATATTTTTTGGCTAAAGTAATAATTGCTTTCATTCTTTGTCATCAAAATTAAATGTGATACCTGACAGCAAGCTTAATTTGTTTTTTTGTTATGACAATTTTAATTTGATTATTATGTAGAAACGATATTTCATATATAAGGTTAAATTTATATGTTTTCATTAAGAAGGATCCTTAATTTTTGATAATCTAATTGGCCATAATATAGTAAACAAGGAACATGTAAGTTTTTGTTATTTGTATTATGTTATATGATATGTTTCTTTTATAATATGTATTTTTGATCTGTTTTGTTTGAGACAAGAATAAATGTTTAATTTGTTTCTCTGATCTATTTTGAGTTTTATTTGAAAAAGATATATTTTTTCTATATTTTTGATGTTCCATAATTATTTCCTAGTTACAACTAGTGGTTGTAATAGGTATAATTAGGCACCTCAAGTGGCGCCCTATATTAAATTTCTTGAGGTGTTTCCGTTTATTTTCATTCTGTTTGTCTCAAGAGATTTGTATAAATACCCCTTTATTTCTTTTTTTTTGTAGTTGCCCCAATCTAACCCCCAATATCTTCAACTTATCCACGACCCAGCTCTCCAACATCCAACTGAGTGTCGTATGCACTTGTTTCGATTATTTTGTTTGCCCAATATTGTCCCCCATATTCTTACCCTGTGGTAAGCAAAATAGTCGTTACACTACAAGATTCTGTCCCAACTAAATTAAGTAAATGCAGCACAGGGTATAAATGTTGCTAAACAGCTTGGATTATAAAAAGCATCAAGAAGAGAAAGCTAAAGTACTGCGGCATGTAATGAGAGCTCCCATATTGCTAAAAATATTATGCAGGGGAAAATAGCAGGCAAATACAGTCCAGGATGAAGAATGGTTTAAGAACTTGCAAGATTGGTATGGTATTGATACAAGCATACTATTTAGGGCGGTAGAGAATATAATTAAAAAAGCTATGATGGTAACTCTCATTCTGAAAAATATGGTACATGAAGAATAAAGTATCAAGTGGCAAGCCCTTTTATCTTAGCTTGCAAGGTAGAATACGCTGAGAATAATGATAATGATACATATGATATAATATACCAATTGATGCAAAAATCAGGGAGGAATTTGCTATTTCTTGGAAGGAGTAAGAGATTCAAACCAAAGAAGACATTGTGGAGACGTTTAGATAGGACATGTTGGTGAAGGGAATTGACATTGGTATGGTCCAAGATTCAAACTTATGGAGAAATGTAATCGGGGAAGCCGACGACACATAGGAAAAAAGGCAAAGTAAATAATAAGTATTTGTTTATTCCAATAGAAATGAACACATATAGGGGGAAAAAAGTGCGAGTACGACTTGTTTGATGAACTTTATCGCTACATAACTTCATTGCTTCTTCTTATGTACTTGATATCTTCATTCCATAATTAAGCCATACGACTAAGGGAAAAAATAATTTATACCAAATATAATCCCAAATAGCTAAGGTACTATAAAGTATTAAGTTCTAGGACGACTCTTTCCACGTTAATAAGCCCTAAGTGACCTGGTATGCTAGAGTATCTCCTATAAATTTCCTGACTTATCTGGACGTTGGAAGTATTATGGTTTTACAAAGATATTCAGTAAGAACTAGCCATTTGATGCTCTGAACGAGACTCTTCGGAATAACACTGGGAGTTCAGAGCATAATAAGTATCCTTTATTATTATTTTGACATTAATTATTAACCATATTTATATTTATTTATTGTAATGGGTATTAACTTGGTTATAAAACATTTACTTAAATATATTTTAAAACCTAAGAGAAATTACAAATTTACTTACATTTTCTCCACTGATGATGCTTCTCTGGCAGACGGATATATTATGTGTGCACTTATTTTCATAAACACACCAATTACATGCCCACTTTGATTTTACACATTCCCCGCAAGTTGTATGCCTTCCACAATCATAATAAGCAAAATTTCTCGATACAAAGTCCTTATTTGTTTCTGATGACCGAACACTCAACGGCACTAACACATGATCCATTTCCAAAGGTATCCTAGGTCGTCTGGATATTTCAGGAGTGAAGCAAGATAGTCCGTTTTCCGTAACCTCTGCATCTATAGGTTCTGCGTCACCAAATACGCATTTGTACTTAGCACCCGGTGGAAGAGCGGGAAGAGTTCTTATAGTAAGGCGAACATTTGTCATTTGATTTATAGGTATCCTTTCTGGGAATACTTGCTCAAAATCAATACACTGTTGGCCGGTTCCTAGGGAGACCCAGCGAGGAGCACTATGGGAAGCTTTTTGACAAGCGCTGCGCACAGTACATCTGAAAAATAAAACAAAAAATATAAAAATTACATACTTTACTTATAAAAAACTTAAATATTTAAAACGTTAAGTTTGGACATTATAGACAGTGTACCTATAATGATATGGGTTCTTGAATACGAACAATTAACATAGTAACGAGAGCAGAGTGAAAGACAAATGTTAAACTATAGATAGTTGTGGATACATACGTGCAAAAGTCATAAACATGCATAGTTATAGTATAACTTAAAAATAATTGCCCGAGTATCATAATTAAGAGGGTACATCAGCGCGTCATCAATATTACTTCGAGAAATGTTGCCAAAGTTCTGCGAATCTTTGGCAACAGTGCGTCGGCAGTACGTGACACTATCAAAGACGAAGGCACAATATTATGATAATTAGAGTTCGGATCGGATTTAAAAGCATTAAGAAACGCAAAAAAAGCATAAAGATTTTATGAAAATATGTTATTATTTATTTATTATACAAAAAGCATATTAGATTAGATTAAGAGAGGTGGCCTTTCGGCCTATTCCACTGCGACCTTTTCAGATCTATTGTGGCCCTCTAGTCCTAGACAACATTCTCTAGCCTGACCCTCTTTATAGAGTCTAGTAGCTTCGAGACTGTACCTTCCATGTAGCTGTTTGCCGATGGATTTTCTTCTCCTAATGCAAAAAACCGCACATTTGCCAGACTGTCACACTGACATAAAATGTGCTCTGCCGTTTCTTTTTCGAGGTGACAAAATCTGCACAGGTCATCATCCGATAATCCCATTAGCTTCAAGTGCCTATTCAGCTTACAGTGCTCTGTTAGAAGACCTACTATGGCTTTGACTGTTTTCGTATCTTTGCTAATTAGGTCTGCCGTAAATTTTGGCGAATGTTCTCTAATGAACTGTTTCGCCTGTCTTTGTCCTGGTGAATTCCTCCACCATTCCAGAGATTTGTGAGCTACCCACTTGTAGCCGTTCTTGTTACTGACTTTGCAACGCCGCAGAAGGGTTCCGGTCTAATGAATGGCATTGATGAGCCTTGTTTGGCCATTTCATCTGCTTTTTCATTGCCCTTATGACCCTCGTGCCCCGGTACCCAGGCTACCGTAACCTTGCTACGGTCTCCTAGTTTATTTAGGGCACACACGCAATCCCATACTAGCTTAGAATTGACCTCTACAGAATTGAGTGCCTTAAGCGCTGCCTGACTATCTGTGAAGATGGCAACTGAACAGAACGTTCTTTCCTGCCTTTCTATTTCTTCCACACAGTGATGAATTGCAGTTATTTCCGCCTGGAAAACTGTCACATCCTTAGATAGACTTACCGGGAAATGTATCCCTTGATTTGTCCCTACTATGCCGGCTCCAACACCCTCCGATGTTTTTGAGCCATCCGTGTACCAGGTAGCAGCAGCTTTTATGGGTACCCCTTTATTTCACTCTTCCCTGCCCGGTATCTTAATTGTGAATTTATTGTTAAAGCTATATCTAGTAGCTGTTGCATCGATAGGTTTTCCCATCACAATATCGGCTTTTAGCTCCTCGATTAGCTTTCTGTTGTAAGTACCATGCGTTTGGCTTATATGTCGCTGACTATGGATTAATCTGTGCATCACTGATCTGGCTTCGCCCTGTATACAGATATGAAGTGGTGGTAAATTCAACAGGACTTCCAACGATGCAGTAGGAGTTGTTTTTATGGCCCCAGTAATACACAGGCATGCTAGCCTTTGTGTACTACCTAGCAGCCTTATTGCTCCCACTTGCTTCGTCTTTGTCCACCACGTCACCGAGCCATAGGTTATCATGGGTCTAATAACCCTTGTATATAACCATAGAGTCATTTTGGGGTTTAGCCCCCAATTCTTACCGCACATTCTTCTACATCTGCCCAGGGACATAGTAGCTTTCTGTGTGGTTTTTATAATGTGAGTATTCCATGTAAGCCTATGATCAAAATATACCCCAAGGTATTTTGTTTCTTTGGCAAATGAAATCTCTGTTCTTCCCAGCACCGGTGGTTTTAGGCCTTGTAGTGCTGTTTTCTTGGTAAAGTTGACGATTTGTGTTTTCTGAGCATTGACTATCAGTCTCTCTTCTTTACACCAGTCGTCAACTATATTTAGGACTGCTTGCATTCTCCCAGACACCACCTGAGCAAACCTGCCCCTGACAACAATTGCTATATCGTCAGCATATCCTAGACAATAAAAGCCTTCTGTTGACAAATTTCTGAGGAGATCATCTACCAAGGTTGCCCAAAGTAGAGGGGACAGAACTCCTCCTTGTGGACAGCCTCCACCTACTTTTGCTTTGATGGTTGCTTTACCCAGAGTGGACATTACTATCCTATTCTCTAGGGATGCCGTTATCCATCTGCATATTACCGCAGGTGCGCCTCGTCTACTCATAGCTCATATCAAAGAGCCGGTGGTAACATTATTAAATGCCCCTTCTATATCTAAGAAGGCGGCCATTGCTATCTCTTTGTCTTCCATTGACTTTGAGATAAGCCTATTTAGATCATCCAACGCAGAGTCCGTAGATTTACCAGGTTGGTATGCATATTGACGATTGCTTAGAGGATTCTCCTTTAGCACTTCGCCTCTGATGTACCTATCAAGAAGCCTTTCCAGCGTTTTTAATAGATGCAAAAAAAGCATATACATAAGCATACAAATTTTAACAAACTTTTTTTTGCGAAAGTATAAAACATCTTAGTTTAATAATTAGTAAGTACCTATCATAAATTTAATATTAATATATACAGTGTGGTCCAACGAGAATTTGACCCCCCCCCCCAGAAACTCAGAAAGCAAGAGTTTTTTCGAAATTAAAAAAAAAACACGTAAATTTGTATTAGCAGTTGAAAGCATTTTTGTATTAGCATGAAAAAAATCCATGCCCTCAAATGTAATCCCCTACTGCCACGCATAAACCTCAGTTTTTTTGAGCAAGTGTGGTCAAGTGCCACATAATTTTAAAGGTATTTTGTTCTTTGCGCGATACATTTTTTTTTAATTTACGAAATAACTTTGAATATAATTTTGGCTAATTTATATCATAATGTGGGGAATCCTTGTCCTGTTGGAAAGTCAGTTTATCGTTTAAAAGATTATCGTCAGATTCCAATGTGTCATTGATCAGCGGATCAACAACGTCTTCTAACAAATTTAAATACTTTGTGCCGTTGAGATTTCTTTAAAAAAATAATGGTCCAATAACGTGATTCTAAACTAAAATGGCAACCCATATATTTAATTTCTGAGGTGTTTGTGTATGTGTCTCCATGAATAAATAAGGATTACTGTTACTTCAATAACGACAATTATGTCTATTAATTTCACCATTTAACATAAAAGTACACTCGTCGGAAAAGCACGTACAGTCGATGTTTGTTTCTTATTTATGATTTACTAAATTCTTCACAAATTTGACGTCTACGATCAGGACCATCTTCGTTTAATTGATGAAGTAATCGTATTTTATAAGGGTGAAATTTATAGGATTTTAGAGTTAGATAAACGCTAGATGATCATAGACCATTTGTCAATTACCCAATACCGCCATTTCATCTGCTTCATTTCGAAGGTCTACCTCATGCTTTGAGTTGCTAACGTCACCTATAGCTTCAAACTTATCAGTTTAATGTATTAGTAACTTACGTTTTTTCTGGATGGTATGTATTAAAGATTTTTGCCCCAGCCTTAGCACATTGATTATTGTCATAGTATAGCTTAACTAATTTTATTCTTTCTTTACTAGAATATCCCATTTTTGAATCCACCATTGCACTGCATAAATTTAGAATTTAATTGAATATTCTTCCTTTTACTTGAATACGATAAAATTTGAGACTTCTATGAAATATATGTTCGCTGCAAATTTTTGAAAATATTCAATAATTTAAAATAACGTGCAGCAATTAGTTTAAATCGAAATATGTGGAGGATAATTATTGTTCATAGGGACATCGATCACGTATAGTTTTTCTACAATAAAATGATTAAAAATTATATTTTCTGACGTAAAAATGTTCAAATTTATAGTTCTATAAAAACATTATTGCTATAGATCCTAGAACGTGTATATCTGTAGAATTACCCTTCTCTAATAGGTAAGCCGCGCGATTGTCTTGGATCTACTAGTTCTGGCAGCAGATTATTCACATAAAACTCCTTTACTTTTGAAACTATTTTTGTTGTCCAAAATTGTTGATCCCTCGGAATTTCTTCAATTATATTTCCCTGTGGCGTCCAAACTTCTTCTTCTTCAAGTGCCATCTCCGCGGCGGAGGTCGGCAGATCTTTCCCTGCATAGTCAGTTGGAGCAAGGTGTATTTCTTTCCACGTGTAATATGTCCGAGATATTCTAATTTTCTTGTTTTTATTGTATTTAAAATTTCCATTTCTTTATTCATCCTTTCCAGAACCTCTTTGTTTGTGACGTGTTCTGTCCACGATATTTTCAGTATTCTTCTGTACACTCACAGCTCGAATGATTCCAGTTTTTTTATTGATGTCGCATTTAAGGTCTAAGATTCCATTCCATAAAATAAAGTCGAAAAAACATAGCACCTCGCCAACCTAACTACAAAATAGTCCAACCTACAAAATAACATTTCTCTCTTTTTACGATATGCAACTGACCCTAAATCTGATCATAGTAGTCATGATTGCGTTTTTATTCAATTTTATTGGTGTTTTTGTTAAAGATAAGGCAGTTTTTTCTCTACAGCTGCTTCAGGAGTTATAGATTTAATGAAGGGGGGACATTTAATTTCAATTAAAGCATCATCACCCACTAAACCGTCTGGACTCGCTCCAAGAAAACAATGTTCTTCATCAATAAATAATCCAGATATAATTATTTTATAATTCATCTTGGCCTAAAAATGCTTCTATGGCAAAATACTAATGTATTTGTCCATATTAAGTATTTTTGTTACTTTTAAATTTAGAACTACAGACTGTTCTTGACCCAGAAGTGGTAGATTTTAATTTACAAAATTTGTCAAAATGTGATGCGGTGATTTTTTTCTGTCTTTCTTCAAGCCACTGAACTGAAAAACACTGACTTGGATTGTTTTCTCTATATCCATTATTTGTTTTTTTTTTAATTCTTCTTCTACGGCACTACAGCCCAAAATGAGCCTTGGCCTCCTTTATTTTTTGCCTCCACCCTTGTCTGTCTGTGGCTGCTCTTCTCCATACACGGACTCCTAAAAGTGCTTGTGCGTCGCTGCTTACTGTGTCTTCCCAGCGCTTTCTTGGCTTTCCAACTGGTCTCTTTCCCTGCATTCTGGCGTTCAGTGCTCGTTTTGGTAGCCTATCCTCTCCCATTCGTATCACATGTCCGGCCCATTGCAATCTTTGGATTCTAATGAAGTTTGACAGGGGTGTTTCCTTATACAGTTGATAGAGCTCGTTGTTATATCGAATTCTGAAGATTCCGTTTTCCCTCACAGGTCCTAGTGACCTGTGAGGGAAAACGGATTCTTCTTTTTTTTAATTACTTAGAAGTATTTTTTCTTTCGCCTTGTATTCATCAGACTTCATATCGGGTTGAGACTGAATTGTGGCTTCATAGTCTTCGTCAGCGGACGCAACCGTTTTGACTTTTTTTTATTACGCAACATTTAACGACGAGCTTTTCTATCACTTTTTAATTTAGCGGAACGTTTTCTTCCTTCATTCACTTTTTTGTATATGTTTATTTGTAAAAATATTTCGCCGTTCGCTCAAGGGAGTTTCCGTAATTATAGAGTAATAGTCCGGTCCAGCATTATACGAAATTGCAGCAGCTTCATACCTCGTCTGATATGATCCTCTCTTTAAAAAAATTACCCTTTTATCCCCAACTAATCTGAACTATCACCATCGCCAACCAAGGTTGTATAATTTAATCCATGAGTTTCTAAACTTTGTTTAGTCCCTTCTATAATAATCTCTGCTTTCATTGCATTGGATGTTCCAGTCCAGGTTTTTAACACAGTTGTGTGTAGGTACTGTATTATTTTTATTTATGTGAAATTCATAAAAACTGCAGTATTTGTTCCGTACTCGTAAATACAAAAGTTTGCCAGTGCGATATCCAATGATGCAAGCCTAGAAGAGTACAAAAATACTAGTAACAAATTGTACACATCTTATTGATCACGTGCATTACATGAACGCTTGATTAAATTAGTAATAAAACAATAACTGTACTTGTAACTCCAGAAGCAGCATTATAATTGACTTTATATGATTGCTTAGACAAAGCTCCGTTAGCTACTACGGTTATATAAGGAATACCATTTTCGTCAATTTCCCCTAAATTTGTTGCTAGTCTTGCTTCTTTTTGACCAGCTTGTCGCATAACTTTGAAATTGATAGATATAATTTGACACATTGTCATGATAATGACTATACGTGTTTTCTGCCATACAAGGCATGTTGATGGCAGCAGATAATTCTTGTAGCAGTTAATTCTTGTAACGTGGTAAACCCATTTCCAGTTGACACAGTTCCCAGTGTAATTGCTGAGTTAACGTACATGTCTTCAAATGTCACATTTTGAGGATTTTCAAAATATATCTGCTGTGTAACATTTTACATTTTAGCGTAAAAGTTGTATTCCATATTTGTAATATTGCAATTATATAGCTTATGATTTTCTGAAATAAAGTTCTTGAAAAACATAACTAATGTCTATTATTCTTCGGCCACTTAAAGGTTCAGAGAGAATATTAAAATAAATTGCTGTTTAATAATAATAGCTGTTTATCTTAAGGTATGTCATTCAGAATTAAATTATAGGTTAAATAATATAGAATTTGACATCCTAGATTCTAACGTGAAAATTAATATAGATAATATAATAGATAAAAAATTCAATACACAGTGTAAAAAACTAAATAATCTAATTTGCAATAGTAAAAAAGCCAATATTCATTATACAAAAAGTTTTTCGAACCATACTTTTTTCAATAGATTTATAAATTTAACAGATACTAAATTTAGTAATAGCGAAATACAACTTTTAGAGAAAGGATTTAAACACAATTTACCCCAACATAATAATGAAAGGACTTTAGAATATTTAGGTGTAGAATGTGAAGTAGCGTTAAACAAAACTGCTAACAATATTGAAAAAAGTATAATTGCCAAATCTATTACAAATGTGTTTAGTGAAACTAAAAATTCCTGTTACAAAGAGAATAAAACAGCCATTTTAATTAAAAATAAATCAATCGAAAACAACATAGTGTTTACAAAAGCAGACAAAGGTAACACTACTATTGCTATAGATAAAATAGAATATAATAACAAAATAATAGAATTCTTAAATAATCAAAATATTGAAACGTTACATAAAGATCCGACAGAAAAATATCAAAAACAAATTAAGCTAGCATTAGAAAATTCAAAATCAATAGTAAATCCAATATAACAGAAATTTATTTTATACTCTTTCATTAAACTACACAAACCGGATCACCCAATAAGACCTGTAGTTTCTTTTTATACAGCTCCGTCATATAAGCTTTCAAAAAAACTGTTGGACATTATTTTAGAACACACTAAATTTTCACCTAAATTTACCATAAAAAATACAATAGAACTAGTTAATAAAATACAACATATTCAATTACCTAACAACTCCAGATTAATTTCATTTGACGTAAAAAATCTTTTTCCTAGTATCCCTCCTACAGAACCTTTTATTCTAGTAACCTTTTAGACCAAAATAGTACAAATCCAATAATTACATCTGAAATTTTTCTTGAAGTTTGCATAAACCAGGACTACTTTGAATTTAATAATCAAATATATACAAATAACAGTGCAGGACTTATAATAGGCAATCCTCTAAGCCCATTGCTATTAGATATGTTTATGGATCATCTAGAGACAACGATTTCAAAACATCCCGTATTTAAATAGTTTTATCGTATATTAATCGATCAATTTTTATCGTATATTAATTCACTTCATAGTCATATTGAATTTACAATAGAAATAGAACAAAATCAATCCATAAACTTTTTAGATTTAAAAATTATCAGACTTAAAAACAAACATGACTGCTCCATATTTCATAAACCTACCCATACTGACACGACTATACACTATTCATCATCCTATCCAACACAACATAAACTGGCAGCTTATCATAGTATGTTACATAGATTAACAGAAATTCCGATGTCAAAATACAACTTCGAGACAGAATTAAATATCACCATAAGCAAATAGCAGTAAACAACGGATACAACGAACAAACAATTAATAAAATGTTAAATCAAAAACTACACAAGAAAGCCCTGAAATTAGTATTTCCACCACCAGAGAAAAAACCCAGTACCTTCTGCTCGATTACATATACAGGCAAAATATCAACTAAAATAGCCAAACACATAAAAAAGAAAGGAATAACACCAGCTTTCCGAACAAATAACAACCTAGGCAAATATATCAAAAACAACAAGAGCCAAAATAAAAAAACACTTACACAGTGGTGTATACAAACTTAAATGTGGCGACTGCCCAAAAACTTACATCGGTCAAACTGGTAGAAAGTTTAATAAACGAATAGCAGAACATAAAAGGGCTTTCAATAATAGAAAAACAGATTCTACATACGCACTTCACCTTTTAGATCACAATTATTCTTTTAATGACGAATTTAAAATTCTTCACATTCAAAATAAAGGCCTTAAGCTATCCTTGTTAGAATCTATGGAAATCAACAAATTAAAAAACAGATATAATTCTGAATGACCAACTTGAGACAAACAGTTCTCCC